AATTCCTAGCTTTTAATCCTGAAACTATTAAATCTACGCTTGGAAAGTCCCAGTATATTGAGGGCATTTTTTACAACCTGGTAATCTTCAGTTAAAGAATTCAAAGAATCATAGCTAAACTCGAGTCTCCGAGTTCTTGATTGTCCCCTTTAACACTTGGGTCAGTTTCAAGAACTCGTCAATATCTCATCAATAGTCCTAGAGCTATCCATTTTATATGCAATAAAACACCTTTTAAGTAAGCTAGATTAGGACAGATTGTAACGCATAAAGAGATTCGAGTTTACCCCATATCGTTGTCAGAGTTTCAAACAGTCTACCTTTCGCAGGACCGCGTCGAGAGGTTCATGATTACAGGTTGTACGCCTCTCCTCCAGCTCTGCTTCTTTTTTCATTTTCTCCTCTGACCATTTGTGTCACGTCCTTTTCTAGTGCAATGGCTACCTCATTGTGTGATAATAGGGCTTTCATTTTCTTCTTCCAACTGTTGAAATCAATTTTTCCATCGAATTGGGTGATTTCAACTCGTGTGTAGTCTATGGTTTAGATTTGGGGTTGGTGTTTGAATTTAGGGTTGACATAGAAAAACCCTAATTTAGTTAGGATCGAATTAGAATTGATTTCACGAAATTGACCGGATATCAAAGGTTTTCCAAGCCCTAAGACACTAATTTGACTGATTATACCGAAACCCCCAATTTGTAATAAACCCTAGGTTTCAGAATCACTCAAATCAGACCAAAACCCTAATCTCCTCTGATACCACTGTTAAGATCAATCAAACTCAACCTAACCTATTCCTCTATCAAACACAACCAGCAAACACTCAAGAAACAACACAAACATAAAGAATCAAGAATCAAGAACACAGCCAATTTACCGTGGTTCGTTTATTCCAATGGAATAAACTACATCCACGTTGAGCTCAAGTAATTTGAGACTCTCTGCACTATAAGGATGAATTCGTTACAGATTACAACAAGAAATCTCAATAACCCCCAATCTCTCCTCTCACACTTCCCCTCAATCTACCTGTAATCAACACAACCAAGACAACTTAAACAGCGTCTAAACCAGAAGAATATCCAGCTTCTTATACCACAATTCTAGGAAAAATGTGACCTGATTACAACTTGAAGGAAACAAACTAAGCACCCAGCACTTGACGAAAACGCGAGAGAGAGAGTGGATTTTTTCAATAGTTTTCAATTTTTTTCTTTAGTAAATTTCAGCTTTAAATATGTTGACCATTGGGCTGATTTCCACTTTTAGATTAGGCTGAGATTAATGCTAAGATTTGTCACTTACTACCTTATTAAAACGTCAGCGTATTGAAGCTTTACTAACAGAACAAATTCATTTGAAGTTTTAATTATTTTTATTGTATATGCAGGTTCATAGAAAAAAACCAACCAAATCCATGAACAGTAAAGTGGAGCTGTTTTGATCGGGAGAGGTGTATTCTCAAAAAGGCTTATACTCTCTTCAACTTCCAATGGAAGTAGCCATCAATAAGCATGTATTGAAAGTACTAAACAATCCAGAAAAGAAAAGAGTTTAATATGTTTTGAGCAGCACAACTGATGAAGTTAACAAACACGAAGACTATACAATAACATCAGCAACGTAACAAACTCAGTAGAAATTACGAAGAATTTCACTAGAAAGTTGTGAACAAAGTGCCTGCAGCAACTTGTTAGTGTTTATGCGTTGGAGATAACTAAGAAAAGAATAGAGCATGATACGATTGAAGAAAAGTGTCTGAATTTTCTTGAGTTCAAAATGAGTTTACACTTCAACTAATAAAGTTGATATTACACTATTACACCAAACATGCAGACATTATAAACTTGATTTTTTAATCTGAAGCTACTGACTTAATACCAACTAACAACAACTATGTAACACATCCCATATATCCGGGATACATATCAAACATTGCAAAATAAGTATAACTTTGCAGTATTCAAATGGACCCCTGGCAATTGCCTTTTAGTTTTACCGCCAAAAACATATTTGAAACATCAGTTGAACTGCTGCATTTCCAGCCAAGTTCACCCTTCAACACTCCTCCTTGATGGTTGGCTGGAACACACAAGTTTGAATCTGAATTCTCAAACTGGCTTTGGGAAGCCTTGGTCATTGTCACGCACTTGATGTTCACTCTTACAATGCACTAGATTTACTTCACCATTTAACTCAGCTCTCTCACGACATGGAATTTAATTTTATGTGCTTTGTTCGTCCATGCTGCACATGATTCTTGGCCAGCTACTGCAGATTGGTTGTCACACATGATAGCAGTAGCCTTTTTCTTTTTCAGCTTCAAGTCATCAAGATTTTTCCTTAACCAAATGGCTTGATTCACAGCTGCAGCAGCTGATATGTACTCTGCTTCAGCTATGGATTGAGCCACAGTTTCTTGTTTCTTGGAAAGCACAGATAGCACCATGATTCAGGAAGAAGCAAATCCTGAAGTGCTTCTCATATCATCTGTTGAACCACCCAATCACTATCCGAATAACCAACTAAACTGAAGTCCTCTGATCTTTTGAACCACACCCCATATTCAATGCTTCCTCTTACATACCTCAGTACCCTTTTTGCAATTTTGAAGTGTGTTTTCGGTTGGATTACTCATAAATCTGGACACAAACTGGTTGCATACATTAAATTTGGTTAGTTGCTGTCAAATACAGCAGACACCCTATACAGCTCCTATACAGACCTTCATCAACCTTTTCCCCATTCCATCCTTTGACAGCTTTGAGTTTGGTACCAGAAGGCAATTACTGGTTTGCAGTTTTCCATGCAAATGTTTTTCAAAACTTCACTTGCATATCTTTTTTGATTCACAAAGATCCCATCCACATGTTGATCAATCTCCATCCAGGAATAAGACATTCCACCCAAGTTGTCATTTCAAACTCACTTTGCATGGATTTCTTGAATTCACCCACTTGAGCTTGATTGCTTCCAATTACTAGAAGATCATCCACATATAGTGAGATGATCATCATTCATCATCAACTTCTCTAATGTACAAGGTGTATTCATTTGGACTCCTAACAATCCAGATTCAGCAGGTGGTCATTAATCCTGTTGTACTAGGCCCTTGGAGCCTGTTTTGCATATACAAGGCCTTCCTTAACATATACACCTTTCCCTCTTCCTCTTGCCTTGGATCACATATCCTTCAGGTTGTTCGATGTAGATCTCCTCATTCAACCAGCCATTCAAGAAGGCAGATTTTACATCCAATGGGTAACCTTCTCCAGGAGAATTGGGCATCCCACACACAGCAGCCTAATGGTGTCATGCCGTGCACAGAGCAAATGTCTCTAGGAAATCCCACTCCATATTGCTGAGCAAATCCCTTAACTACAAGCCTGGCCTTATGCTTCAGAATTGAACCATCTGGATTTAGTTTTTTTTTTAAATCCACTTCACTTGGATAACTTTTCTATTTTTTGGTCTATCCACCAGCTTCCAGGTTTGGTTTTTTTCAATCATGGCCAACTCCTCCTTCGATGCACTCCCTCAGGATTCTGATTGTGCAGCCTCTAAATGCTTGTAGGTTCCATTTGAGCTAAGTTGCACCTGTCATACACATTAGCAAGTGTTCTGGTTACCCTGACAGCAACTTCTTCTTCTGATTCCTCCCTTGAGTCTTCTTCAGTTTGTTCAGGTTGAACCTCACTCATTTGAGGTTGAGCATCTACATCAGCTCTACCCTTTTCCCAATTCCAGACTCTTTTTCATCAACCTTAACATCCTTGGACACCACAACTTTTCTAGGTCGGAATATAGAGTCTGTAGGCCTTGGATTGGCCTGTAGCCAATGAAAATTCCTATCACAGCCTTATCCCCCAGCTTAGCCCTCTTCAGGTGGCACTAGGACATAGCAAGGCTTCCAAATTTTCAGTTCATCCACTGTTGGTTTGATCTCCGTCCAAGCTTCAAAAGGTGTTTGGTTTTTTAAGGCTTTGGTGGGAATCCTATTAAGTAGGTAGACACTTGTGTTTGCTGCTTGTTCGCCCAAAATGGTTTGGGAAGATTTTTCTCAGCCATTAAGCACCTTACCATTTCCATGACTGTCCTGTTTTTTCCTCTCACAAACTCCATTCTGGTTGAGTGTATGGGCTGCTGTATTCATGTCTTATTCCGCTTCAGTGCAGATTTTTTTCAAACTCTTGAGAAGTGTATTCAGTGCCATTACCTTCTCAAGGTTTTGATTATTTTTTCTGTCAAATTCTCTACTTCAAGTTTGAATTTCCTGAATGTTCCAGCCACCTCATTTTCTGTTTTAGGAAGTAAATCCACCCCATCCTAGACCAATCATCTATAACATACAAATATTTGCTCCCATTAAGTGATAGGTTTGCATAGGCCCACATACATCCGAGTGAACAAGCTGGAGTTTTTCAGAGGCTCTCCAGCTTGGTTCACTGGGAAGGGTTTCCTACTCATTTTGCCTAGTTGACACACTTTGCACACACCTCTCGGCTGCTCAACAATAGGCAGATTCTGGACAAATTTTTGGACTGCATTTTAGTCAAATTTCTATAGTGTACATGGCCTAATCTTTATGCCACATTTCAGTTTCATCCTCTCTAACATTGCATTGCTTGTGTGTGGTGTAGCTTTCCACATTATTGGAAATTTTTTCCCCACTTTTCACTCTCAAAACCTCATTACCCTCACTGTCTTGAATAGGCAGGCTTGTTTTTGAAAATGCAGTGCATAATTCCTTTCCAACATTTGCCCCACACTCAAAGACTTTGACTTATATTGGGTGCATAGTACATTTGAGATTAGTTTTGTACCTTTGGAGTTTGGATTGCAACATCTCTCTTTGCCTCTTGCTTCCACACACTCTTCATTCCCAACCTTGATCTTTGACCGATGAGAGTAATCTATGTTCACAAAGCTACTCAGATCAGGTGTCATGTGATTGTGTGCACCACTGTCAATCAGCCATGTATCATCACAGGTTTGGATCAAGTTGGATAGGCCATAAACAGCTGCTCTGTCTCCCTGCACTCTGTTGTTTCATCAGCAGTTGAGCTTGCTGTTGGGAGCTCTCCTTTGTTTCTGCATACTCTTTCAATATGCCCAAACTGTTTGTAGGCCCTACACTGATACCAGGTCTGAACAAGCATTTGTCTCTGCAGTGTCCTTTCTTTTGCAATGAGAACAGGCTGGAAAATTTCGCATCCCACTAGCTTTTGTTCCATTGGTTGTTGGACTTTTCTTTTCCTCTTTTTTCCCAGCAGACTTCCTATAATTCCCTTGCATAGGTTTGCCTTTGTAGGTTGCCAGCATTGCCCCTTCATATTCGCATCTTCAAGCCTTAGGACCCTTCTTTTGCTCTTGTGCCTGCATAGCATGGCCGCAGCTCATCAATGTGATCTAATTTAGGTCCTTTGAGTCCTCCAAGGATGAAATCTTGGCTTCAAACTTTTCCGGCAAGCTCACCATTACCTTCTCTACTATTCTGCTGTCTAACATCTCCACTCCAAGTAATCTGATTTTGTTGACAATGCTCATCAACCTGTCAACATATTCTTTCACTTTCTCAGCCTCCTGCATTCTTAAAGATTCAAACTCCCTTCTTAAATTCAGAACCTGCATGTTTCTTGTAGTGCTACTTCCCATGAACTCTTCTCTCACTTGTCCAGGATTCCTGGCTATTTCGCATGCCATGATCCTTGTAAAAACAAGGTCTGTGACAGCTGAGTGGATATGGGACAGGGCTCTTGGAGCCTTTGATGCTTCCTCTTCATGCATCGAATTTGGTTTGAGTGGGATTTTGGTCCCAGCGAGGGAGTTGTCTCTCCTTCCTCTACTACTGCCAGAGTCCTTGACCCCTCAGGACTCCTTCATTTTGATGACCAAATATGGTAGTGTTCCCCATTGAACACAGGAGGTAGAAGGGAAGCTGTTTGAGTAGTCATTTGTTTGAAAGAAAACAGGTCTGACGCAAGGCAATTTCCAGGAGAGCTGGTGGTTTTTTTGGAAAGAAAATGTTCAGTTTTTGTTCGAACAACGAAGCTCTGATACCATGTTAGTGTTTATTTGCGCTGGAGATAACTAAGATGATACGATTGAGAAAATTGTCTGAATTTTCTTGAGTTCAAAATGAGTTTACACTTCAACTAATAAAGTTGATATTACACTTTACACCAAACATGCAGACATATAACTTGATTTTACTGAAGCTACTGACTTAATACCAACTAACAACAACTATGTAACACATCCCATATAATCCGGGATACATATCAACATTGCAAAATAGTTAACTTTGCAGTTTACAAATGGACCCCTGGCAGATTGCCTTTCAGTTTTACCGCCAAAAAACATATTTGAAACATCAGTTGGACTGCTGCTTTCCAGCCAAGTATCACCTTCAACAGCAACACTGCATCTCTACCCACATTTTCCAGAGATAGACAATATGACAAGCTAACCAATGCAATGCAACACCATTCACAAGAATTTAAGGTTTCTTAGAAGCTCAATTCCAATTGGAATATCCTTCTAGGAAACATCATGTTGAGTTTATCTGCAACAGCAACACCTCATGTGATACTGTTACCCTTAACTACTTTTGTGAATTGTAGATGAGAGGTACTATCTCCTGTGCTCGCGTACATGATTAGGTGGTGTACCAAAAGAAAGAAAGCACATTCTTCTTATTATGTTATTGAAAATATATAATTTTTTTTTTTTTTTTTTGGTGGCCAGGGTGTCCGAGCCAGCTTGGACGACCAAGTAATCCTCTAATGACCGTAATAGAGGCCGAGGGAAATCGAATTCAAGATCTTTTGAGTAATATACTTAAAAGTTCTTATTTTATCACTCAACCATCCAAGAGTTGATTTCAATTGCTCTGTATTGTGAAGTTTAATTTCAATTCATTATATGAGTTCTATTCAATTATTCAATGAGTCCCCAATATAAGTCCCATTAGGTATCTACTTAGGTAGACCTAATTTGATTTGATTGCTTAATAAACTAGTAAATTAGTTTTTTTTTTTTTTTTAACCAAGATGTATGTGTCAGTTTACGCGTATTTCGACTAATCTTCGAAGAAGATTAGTGCAAAACCCACCGCCATGATCCCCCACTTGAATTAGGATGCTCAGATAAGAAATCGAACTTGAGATCATGTGTTTATCCACATTATCCCCAATTCGCTTTAACCATCTAAGCACCCAGGGATGAGTCTTATTTGATTTACCATTTCTGCTTTGTTAACTAATCTAATACTCAACACCAAATCTAGTTTAGTATTAGGGATTGATAATACCTAATCAAATGCCATAAAATAAGACAAAGCAAAAGCAAAAATGCATTGAAACGTGCAGCAATGAAGGTGTTTTTAGCCTTTAGCCCTTAATGTATTTCTTAATTCTTGTGGGTTGGGGGCCCTTTAGAGATGGTGGCTTCTGAAGTAAGATATTATTTGCTTAACTAATTGGGTAAAAGGTCACTTTACACACAGAGGTCTAAAGAGTCCTCAAAAGCATCACCAGAACAACTTATACGTTGCTCCTAAATGTCTGTTTCTGTTTCTTTTTCAATCACTTTCTCAACATTGAATGTCACTACCAACAACCAAGCCCTTTTGGTAGTTTCGAAACTACGCATCTTCATTTTTATGAAATTGCTGTAAACTTGTATCTTCATGTACCTGAATTTGGACGCATGAAAACCATTGTGTTAACCACTGTGTGTGCATTGTGACATGGGGGGGATCCAATTTGTGAACTAATGTTGATTCTATGGTTTGGGAAGACAAGAGAATCAGGGCCATTGAGAGAGTCAGGGCCTGGGGTTCTTAGTAGAACACTATGGATAAACTGTGTGTTTACAAAAGTGATGCGGAAGCCTCTGCAGTGCAAAAGTTTTGCTAGTTTAAGCATTGGATGTATGTGGCCTTGACCTGTGAATGGAACACGAACTGCATGAGGACGAACATTTTCTGAACGCAACACACAACCCATCTCTCACTTCATTCATAATTATCTTTGTTTTAAGTTAAGACTCCTTCATTGCTTTCTCCTTCTTCTTCGACTGCTGCACTCGCGTCTGCATCCTTGAGGAAAGATCTGATGCTCTCCAATTCACTTTTGATGCTTTCAACTTCTTTCTTTGCACATCCCAACACCTTGGTTTCTTGGACAAGCAAAGAACCCAAGGTTTCTATAACAGAGTTCATTGTAAAGTCTGTCATATCTGATAACTTTTTTTCTGGGTCACTCCATATTAAGATGTTTGCTCAAGGATACATTGTTGTGTGTACATCAACAATTTGTTTCAGCAAATAAATATAAGTGCTTTTGTTAACAAATATAATTTGCTGAGTGAAGAATGGTTAGAGAACATTAATGTGAATAATAAGGCACCCTATTTTTTTTATTAATAATGACTTAATATATTTGATTTATCAGATGCCTGAACTACACTGTTGATGGGATCGAACTTTAGCAGAATTTGACTTAAGATTCTGGGCTGAATTTTCAGTTTACCATAATTTTTCACAAAATTTTGTCCAGAATTGATCTAATGATCAATAATTTTGACTCTTCGTGTTATGTGTTTGAATTCTACCGAGAGAGGAATTTAATTGATAAAAGGAAACACAGGATCGAGTTCGCACAGGTTTCATGGTGTTGTATGGCTTGTCGTTGTGAGCAATGGTTGTACCTTTGGGTGATATAATTATAAAAGAGAGGCCTCAGCTGTCGAAGATTTTACATTGGGAAATTACCATTATAGAACTGTTAAGAATCAATCAAACTCAACCTAACCTGTTCCTCTATCAAACACAACCAGCAAACACTCAAGAAACAACACAAACAATAAAGAATCAAGAATCAAGAACACAGCCAATTTTACCGTGGTTCGTTTATTCCAATGGAATAAACTACATCCACGTTGAGCTCAAAGTAATTTGAGACCCTCTGCACTATAAGGATTGAATTCGTTACAGATTACAACAAGAAATCTCAATAACCCCCAAATCTCTCCTCTCACACTTCCCCTCTATCTACCCGTAATCAACACAACCAAGACAACTTAACCAGCGTCTACAACCATAAGAAGATAACAGCTTCCTTCCTACCCCAATTCTAAAGAAAATGTGACCTGATACAACTTGAAGGAAACAACTAAGCACCTAGCACTTGACGAAAACGCGAGAGAAGAGTGAGTTTTTCAATCTGTTTCTGCAGTAAATTTCAGCTTCAAATATGTTGCACCATTTGGCTGATTTCCACCGTTAGATTAGGCTAAGATTAATGGCTAAGATCTGTCACTTACTACCTTATTAAAAGGTCAGCGTATTGAAGCTTTACTTAACAAACTCCACCTTGAAGCTTCAACACATTACCTGATCAAATACCTTATCAGTGCAGTTCATCACAAATTACTCATCATGCTCTATTGCTGCAGCTTACTCAACATGCGCAGGTTCAAGCAATGCTTGAACTGGTTTGGAGACACCACTTTTGTTCCCATTCTGAAGGATTGTTCTCAGTTGGCACTTTTTTCAGAATGATTGCCCCTTTGTCCACCAACTCCTCACAAAATGGTATTTGACATCAACATGTTTGGTTCTCTCTGATACCGGGGTTTTTTGCTCAGGTGTATGGCACTTTGGCTGTCTGAATAGACAGTAACACACCCTCCGCAATTAACCTCTGACAGTAACCCTTGGAGCCATAAAGCTTCCTTGAAAACATTCGTTACAGCCACATACTCTGCCTCAGTTGTGGATAGGGCACAATTGGTTGGAGTTGGGACTTCCAGCTCACACAATTTCCTCCCAAGGTGAACATGTATGCAGTGGTTGATTTCCTTGAATCCTTGTCACCTGCAAAGTCAGAATCTACAAATCCTACCAGATCAAGTGAGTCATATCTTTTTCCATATTTCAAGCCCACATGAACAAAACTATTGATATATCTAAAAGCCATTTAGAGCAAGCCAATGTTCAAAACCGGGTTTGACATAAATCTGCTTAAGAGGGAATGGCAAAGGAAAGGTCTGGTCTGGTACTAATCATGGCACATTACTGACCCAACTACTTTTGCATAAGGTTTTTTCCATTTTTATTAATCTGCATCAGTTTTGGGGCATTGTGATCTACTCAACATAAAGTGACGCTAGGGGTACATTCCCAGTTTTAGAACCTGCCATGCCAACCTAGACACTAATTTTTCTAGGTAAGCCTTCTGATGGATTTTTAATTCAAAGTCCTTCCCGTTTCTATCTATTACCATGCCTAGATCCGTTTAGCACTTCCCAATCCTTCATATCAAATTCAGAGTTCAATTTTTTCTTTAACTCTTCTATCCTAGGTTTAGACTTGCAAATTAAAAGCATGTCATCAACATATAGTAGCAAAATACAAAGGCATATCATCATATAAGCTATATAAACAGCAGTCGTATTTGCTTCTATTGAAGCCAATACTAAGAATAAAGGCATCAAAACGTATTACCACGGCCTAGGGGACTGTGTCAGTCCATATAAAATTTGTAAGTAAGCATACATGTTGGGCAGGTGTCTATCTACGAATCCTATGGATTGTCTCATTAAATTTTTTCATCCAAATTCCCTGCAAAAAGGCAGTCTGACATCCAACTATTCTAATTCTAGGTCCTATGGGCAACAATGGCTAAAATGATCCTAATGGTTTTAATATTTCACAACGGGGAAATACTCTTTAAAGTCATTCCCTCCTGTTGTTGTAGCCTTTGGCTACCAACCTGGCCTTA